ATCCACACAGTATACACAGCACACATGCGCACAGGTCGGGTGGTACAGGGAAGAAGACCGGAGTGTAGCAACAACGCACGTGTATTAACCCGAACCGAAACCGGAAGAGGGGGCGTACAATCAAAGGGGACCAGTCAAGGTCAGTCTGGGGGGTTGTACAAGCGGCTATTCTTTCCTGTCCGGGGCTCGTGGTGGTTCGACCATGGTACCTGAAACAGGGAGAGAGAGGGTGGAGAGACACATAAGCCCATGTGATAGACGTGCATACAGATACAGTCGAGTTTCAACTGCGTTACAGGCCTAAAAGACAAACTTTCCGGGGACCTCTTGTAAGCACTGTTAGTCCAGTAAAACAAAACATCAGTTCACACGGGACAAAATAGCACGGATTTGAAGCCAAAGGACCACTCTCATGAATGGGGCATAGATAGTGATGAGTTACCCGAAGCACCCGGCTTGGGAAACTGAAATTATTACTGGAAAAATTAAACTTACTTTAATATTGAGGCTTAAAAGTGCATGGGCTTCGATTCCTTACATTTCGTAGCACTCCAGGTAGTCATGTGAACAAGTTGAGCCACACGTTCGGTAGTTTAAGTCTTTTGGTTGCGTTTACTGAGGAAAACGTAAGTAAACAGTAAACAGCCACCGATTGGACATGTCCTAGTCAACCGCTTAGTGTCATACGATTGTTTCATTCAACTCTGGTGTTCAAAATTTCCTGCCCAATCACATGAACTGACCAACTTTTTGTCGATTTAAGCTCACACATGATTGGGTGAAAATGAATCTGCGGGTGGTTTGGAATGTTGAGCACGTAATCAAACCGGTGCAAACCATGTGACTGGCGTTTTTATCGTCTGCCAATTTATTCCTCTAAATATCATATGACGCTTTCGAGCACGACTGATAGGATGTTTACATCATATTTGGTCAAAGTAGGTTTTCTTTTATCAACACGAAATTTCTTATCTTTGGTGTGATGTTGATCGTAGCGCAAGCGGACCTCACACAGAAGCTGCCTGTGTGAAGTAGCTCTCTGAGAGAGGCTTTTCAGCAATGTGAAGCTACAGGCTGAACTGTCCTATTCGACGCTAACGGGTCTCCACAATACCTCCACAACAGATTGGAATGAAACTGCTTATGGCTCATGCCCTCATCAGACCTAACTTCAAACAATGTACAACAAAACATCTACTTTTAACGCTGAAGGCATCAGTTAGTGGGGCATTCTAAGCCCATCCATGTGATCAGTATGTGACCCGGGTTGCACCATTCCCAAGGCCTGTCGCAGTCACACATTTCTTACCGTCCAGTAAGAGAGTGCTTCGGCTTGTCAGCTTAAAAGGACCGTACAATACTTTTCTTGCGTGGCCTATCCGGAGTAGGCTGTGTTGCGACTCGCAAGTCGCTGGAGGGGGGTATGACTTTTGACAGACATCAACATGCGAAAAAGGGTAAT